AGAGTGGGGACTGACATGCAGCAAAGGGCCGTGAGCCGGATTTGAACCCGCAGCCGCTGCAGCGAGGCAATGCCTCTGTACATGGGGCACCAGCACTATCCACTATGCTACCGACGCCCCATGAATGTGATTTTTGCATTGCGTTTTGGATTATGTCAGAAAATAAGCTCTGTGGCTAACACAAGTTTATGATACTTGCAGGTTTTGTTCAGCGAGATAATCTTCACATATGAACACCTTTCATACCGCATTTGAAGCTTAAATGCGATCGCCAGAAGTAAAAAGCTAACGTTAGGCTTTAACGGACTACGAGTACTCCACGTTCGCATGACTCTTGACGTCTCTCGACGTGATTTCAGCCGCTTTATTTTAAGAACATTGTATAATGGGGAAATCGGACTGTTTGAGCTAAATAAGAAGCTGTAATGGCGGACTGCCAGCACTCTCGCCTGTTCGGGGGTGATGACGTTTAATGTCCCCGACAGGGTTTGTAGTCGTATTGAGCAATTTGTTAGCAACTGCCTTTTTTACGACGCGTAAAAGCTTCAGAATTCACAAGAAGGGTATTTACTGACGTGTTTTATGTCGTAGAACAAAACCTGAAACTCGCTTAAGCTTTTGTTAACCACAGACCTTATTTGAGGCATTTGAGGCATTCAAAAAACGTATTGACTTTTAGACTAGAGAACCGGAAGTGCTAAAAGCGCTAACGGAGTTCCGGGTTTACTGGCACACTATTACACTTAAAAGGGCCGGCCTGGGTTCGGACAGAACATGCACGGGCTCAAGTGGGGTTGGGCTGGATTTTCTGGGCCCGATCTAAGCTCTACGCTGCACCTGATGACTTTCATTATTGATTAATCTGTCAAGATTTCAGAGTAAAAAAAATCCAGAATGGTTTCCCTGGCAGAAAGACCCGAAGGTTTTATGCATGTTAGTGGAGTCAACTTAAAGTAAACTTTACTGCACTTATTATTTATGTGGTGTTTTTATCTTTTATGGCCAAAAGCAAAAAAGGAACATTTAATATCACCTAATATTGATTGCAGACCCTTGAATCACATCAAATCAAAACTGTATCATGGCAGACTTTGTAATATCTGCAAATATAGCACCGTTGTCCAAAGAATCGATAATGACATCGTATGGTGATAAAACTGGTGATTTACACCCCTAGTGTGCAAAGGTCTTACAGTAAGTCATTATTTAATTTTTTTGAGAAAGTTTGTCATTAAAATAACTTACAGGATGTATTTTTATTCTAATCATACTGATGGAAATGGGCTTCCACATATTGAGACAGTGAAAACAGAAAACGTTTGATGTTTTTTGTTGATGAAATTGTGGCCGATTGATTTCCTGTCGATCAACTAATTATTTCCACTTGTGTATTATTTTATTTTCGCGTGTGTAACAAAGGTTCAGCAAACCTGCCAGAGGACAAACTCAAAGTCACACATCGACTTCCTCACACACACGCTGAAACGTGAACAACAACAACAAACATCAGCTGTAAACACACACATATTGGAAGGCCTGGAGCTGGCTGGGTGTGATGTTTGGGTTGATAGTCTGACATTTCATGGTCATTATCTGTCATTACACGCAGCAGGGGAGCACACACTCTCACACACTCCTGCGATAGTGGGTGGTTTTGACCCATAATTTGAGTAGATATGAGAGAGAAATGATACAGAGGTGGGAGGCAGAGAGGAGAACAGCAGTGATGTATTTCTGATTGAACGGGGAGAAAAGATTGCAGCTGTTGTGTTGTTGGCCTTTTCAGAAAGGAGCTGTGATTATGGGCAGTTACAGCAGGAAAAACCCGGGAGACACCTACAATAAACGCAACACACAGAGGGGAGAAAAGAAAAAGCACAAAGGTTATGTGGCGGAAGTGAAGAGAGGGAAAAGGACAGAGCCAACAGAAGAGCTAAATGGATTCAAGTCAAACTATAAAAGTCAAACTGTACCAGCAGCTGAAGCAAGCGCTGCTCAGACACTAAATAATTCAGAGCGTTTGTTTTCTGTGCTGGGAGGCCCAGGTGGGCGGGGTTTAGTCCGTCAGGGCAGATCAGATCATCTGAGACTGACAGGTAAAGCTCTGAGGGGTCGAAACACACAAGCTGCTCCACATAAACAAATGTTGGTGTGTTTGATTTGTTACGAGCGGCTGAAATCATTAATTATGGCTCACTGTCAGGATGACGGGAAGTCGGCCAGCGTGGATGTGTTTGACTGCTTTCAGATGCAGCGCACTTTATGGATGAAACGTAATATAAATAGGATGAACACATTATGTCCTGCTCATACATAAGAACAAGAATAGACCACTGACAGCTTTCCCGAAATTGTCAGCTGATATCCAACAATAAAACTGTAACCGCAGTCGCGTTATTTCTGACTCCCTCAGACGTGTCTTTATGTGTTTACTGAAATAACTGACGTGAGCCAATCACTCTACATTAGGCTGATGACGTGCCTTTAAAGGGATAGTTCATGCCAAAATACACAATAGGTATGTAGAGATGTGTCACACACAGAATAAAAATAAGATTTAGAGTCAAGTCTGGGTTTTAAAAATCTCTATTTTACATGTTGCAGGGCTGCACACACACACACACACACACATAGAAATGTGCAAATATGCAGCACAAGTGATTGTGGATCAGTTTCAGCTGCTTTGGTGCAAATCAAAGAGAGAACAGAAGCAATGGAGAGGCAAGGGTTAGACACAAGGTTTGCTGTGTCTCCCAGCACAGTGTCAAGAGCATGGAGGAGACACCAGGAGACCAACGGTTACACTGGGAGAGCTGGACAGGGTCGTAGAAGGGCATCAACCCAGCAGCAGGACCGGTATCTGCTCCTTTGTGTGAGGAGGAACAGGAGGAACACAGCCAGAGCCCTACAAAATGACCTCCAGCAGGCTACTGGTGTGCATGTTTCTGACCACACTGTCAGAAACAGACTCCATGAGGGAGGCATGAGGGGCCCACGTCCTCTAGTGTGACCTGTGCTCACAGCTCAGCACCATGCAGCTCCATCATTCACCAGAGAACACCATTTTTGGCAGGTCCTCCAGTGGCGCCCATTCTCTTCGCAGATGAGAGCAGGGTCACACTGAGCACATGTGATACTAGGTATGTTTTTGACACTTTGAGTGCCATCTAGTTTCATTATATTGGAGAGAAGGCAGACATCTTTACATACCTATGTAGTTCACATTAGACTACAGTATACAAATAAAAAAGAATGAACTTTATTTGAAGACATTTTTTTCTCTCTCCTAAAAAGAGGGAGAGTAATGGACCACAAGTCTGTTCTGCGACAGAGACTCAGATGTTTTTACATTTGGATGAATTTCTAAAGCTCCTCTCTGGAAAGTCTCAGAGAAAAGAAGCACTGCACTTCTTCTTTTTTTTTTTTTTTTTTTACCATTTTGACATTTCAGATAGTTCATCTTCCCTGGGAGACAGCAGTGGTGTCTCTTTCTCTATCTGTGTGTCACACACACACACACACACACACACACACACACACACAATGGCTGTAGTGTTGACCTTTGGTTCGTCGACAGCAGTTTTAATTGGTCTGTGACTTTAGCCAGAGATGACCAGCCACCACCGTGTGTGTGTGTGTGTGCGCTTGTGTTTCTGTGTGTGTATTAACAGTATTGTCTGCTTTTTGATGAATGAGAAAGACAGAGAAAAGACACAAGAGAAAGAGACATAGAAATCAATTCAAACATGGGCTAGGCTTCTATAAAATTTGGTATAATTTAATATAATATAACTGCTTTTCTACTTTTAATAGTATGCATGCTTGATACGAATTACCTTTCAGTGTCGTGTGTGATTTATCCGTCAGGGATCTAAACTTTGGGATTTATCCGGGCTTCATATGAGCAGAGGAAATCTCTGCTCGTCGCTAGGCTAATTTAAACAATGTAAAATGCCATAGGCTTGTGCTAATAACGTTAGCATGTTGTATTTGTTTAGTATAAGACAGTTGTTTTGTCAGTGAACCTTATGAGTTGTAATGGAGCTGAATTTTGTACCGTTACCTCTGTTAAATGTTGCTGTTGTCCCTGGTTTTATATGAGAAGAGAAAAAGTCTGCTAGCTGCTAGGCTAATTTATACAATGTAAAATGCCATAGGCTTGTGCTAATAACGTTAGCATGTTGTATTTGTTTAGTATAAGACAGTTGTTTTATCAGTGAACCTTATGAGTTGTAATGGAGCTGAATTTTGTACCGTTACCTCTGTTAAATGTTGCTGTTGTCCCTGGTTTTATATGAGAAGAGAAAAAGTCTGCTAGCTGCTAGGCTAATTTATACAATGTAAAATGCCATAGGCTTGTGCTAATAACGTTAACATGTTGTATTTGTGGGGACAATGTGTCCAGATAAAGACAAGTGTTTGTCTGTGAATGCTGCGAGTTATAGTGCAGCTGATTTATGTACTCGTGTTTGAAATTGTCTCTATTAAGCCATGTTTAATGTGTGTTTAATGTGTGTTTTTAATCAACTAAACTTTACAGCACTTCACAGAAACCTGCCACCAACTAGTGTTTTGGAGGTGTAACTGCAGAGTGACACAGACACACCACCACACAAATATAAATACTCACAACAGCGTACGCTCTGCATAGAGCTGACGCTGAAGTATAAATCCACCTTCAGTCTTGTTTTATCTATAAAATGTCACATAATAGTGAAAAACATCCATCACAGTTTAGTGGCGCCATCTTCTATTTGCATGTTTTCTCCAAAAATTTACAATCATAAAAACACACAAGCAGCAAATCCTTCATTTTGAGAAGACGGAACTAGAGAATATTTGGAGTGTCTGCTCAGTAAATGACAACCAGTTAATGTTCTGTTGACTGACTGCTCGATTTATTGGCTAATCCTCCAGCTCTGGGGCACAGGACTGAAAGCTGATTCACCAAACACAGCTTCCCACCTGCTGCAGTGTGACTGTAAGGCTGTTAACTGTACCTTGTCAGCGTTGTCTGCAGCCAGCAGGTTGGTGGCGAGCGTCTGCAGTTTGTGCTGGGCCATGTTCTTCAGTGCCGCCAGGCTGCGGCGAGTCATCGCCTGCTTCAGGTTCACAGCTGAGTGGCTGAGAGCGTCCACGGTGGCTGGAGCCAGCTCTTCACAGGCGTTCAGGATCTCCACCGCCGTGATGCCCATCACGCATCGGTCCAAGGCTCCTGGAAACACAAACAAGTCAACAAACCTTTTACAAAGGAAGAAGGAAGCGTTACTTGGCTCTGATGGCTCGTCCAACAGGTACTCCTTGGTGAGGCAGATAATAGATCACAAAAAACAAGATCTTATTTCTTAAGTAAACACACCTGTCTCACACCCTTGATATAAACACGGGGGTAAATTACTTACAAGGAATCAACAATTAGGTTGTTAGATATCTGAACAAATACTGTCTAGATTAACATTAACCTCTATTTCCTTAGATAATACTGCTCCCAAGAGGATTAATTCCAGGGAACTCCTGATCTTCCTGTCTGGTGCCACCATCAGGAGATATTTCCTTTAAGACACAAACAGTATGACACAGGGCTGTGACTGAATGGATTTTTTCTTACAGCCGTGAAAAATCAATGAATCACCCCCATTTGCCTCAAACAGCCATCCAACAACCTGAAAAATACACCACAAACTGCAGTACGATGATACATGAAGGCCAAGAAGGATAATGTCGCTAATGTTGCCTCTATGAATCTCCGTCCTTGTCCAACGTCAACTCAGACATCCACAACAGCAACACTGTACAGCAAATCATTGTATCCATCTCATTTTATGTGGCCAAAGATATGTGTCCGATAAACACTTGTATTTCTATTTTGCACTGATGCACTGAATTCATGTGAAGAAGATCCTTAATGGGTTTTTTTTTTCAAGTCTCCAGCCACAGTCCAACAAAAACTTCAACAAATGCAATTTAAAAAATAAATAATTAAATGAATAATCATTAATAATAATTAATTAAATGAATTAATTAACTAAATAACATAAAATATAAAATATTATAAATAATAATCAAATAATAATAATAAATACTTTTTTAAAACTTCTACAAATGCAAT